CTCTAGACACCACACAGACTGTAAGTTGGGGAGGGATCACCCAAATGGAAAATCTAAGTGCTGTTCCTCAAAGAAGAAAGAATGAATGCTGGAGAAAAACAGCTGTGGTCTGCTCTACCACCCATCCTGGTAAACTTTTCTGAAGGTACTTCCTATGAACACTACTTCAGAAGATGTAGGCCTTGCTCATATTGCACACTTGAAAGTGATTAAAGGCATTTTCAATGTAACACCTAAGTCTCTTTGAAAGCATATACTGCAAGTCAAGAGCACTGCTCAATATTCCTACTTTGGGAAACCACAGTTAGAGCCTGAAACAGCACTACGTGGCAGAGGGAGATTCTTACTGACTCCCTGCCTGCAGGACACACCATGAGTTGGGCTGATTGGCGTGCCTATTTTCCCAGATCTGTAACTTGTGGCTTGCCAAAACGAGCTGTCTAGCTTAGACGTTAAGCACCATCCTCGGCATGGACAGGATAAACTTCAATAGCCCCATGGACCTCTGAACCCAGGGCTTTGGCCATATGGGCACTGCCCTCAGCTCTGGCTACTCAAGGTATGGTGTTCTCCGAGCCACAGCAGCATCTGGGAGCTTGTCCAAACCCTTGCTGCTCAAACTGAGGCTGCAGGTCTGGCGGCATTGGCTTCATCTGGGAGCCTGTAGGTATTCAGAATCTCAGGTCCTACCTGAAGACTTCATGAATGAGAATCAGCACTTTATCAAGATCTTTAGGGGGTGGATATGCACTTAAAATCTGAAAAGCACTACTGTATTAGTTTTCTAGGGCTGCCTAAAGAGAGTGCCACAAACCGGACGGCTTAAAACGACAGAAAAGCATTCTCTCACAGTTCTGGAGGCTAAAAATCTGAAATCAAAGTGTCGGCAGGATTGGTTTCTTCTGAGAGCTGAGAGAATCTGTTCCATGCCTGTCTCCTCACTTAGGGTGATTGACAGCAGTCACTGGCATTCCTTGGCCTGTAGACCCATCACCGTCATCGGCTTTCATCATCACATGGCACTTTCCCCTGTGTCTCTGTGTCTGGCAGCACATCCAGCCCCAGCTGAGGCAGCTCCGGTGCAGGGCCGATGCGGAGCTCTCTGGGGAGGTGCTCCATCAGGCTGTGCACTGGAATCACCTAGGGGGTGTTAAAACTACAGATGTCCAAACCGTACCTTCAGAGATTCTAGTGAAATTGGTCTGGTATATTGCCTGGCCATCAGGATTTTAAAACATTTCCCAGGTGATTCTAATCTGTAGCCAAATTTGAGAACTAATGGGATGGACGTTCTCGTTTCTATATATTACAAAATAAGACAATTCAGTTCCTTTTCCAGGTAGGGAAACAGGGTATAAGCACAAATAAATTTGATATTTTCTGAAGTATAGTTTGAGGCATTTTTGTTTGGTGCTCATGAATTTAAAATTATTGTCTCTTTCTTATCTTTATGATAATGAATTACTTCCTTTGCCCTAGTAACACTTTTCACCTGGAGTCTATTTTTTCCCCTGATATTAGTACAGCTACATCAGCTAGCTTTCTTTTGACCAGTTAATATATATATATATATATATTTTTTTTTTTTTCCATCCTTTAACTTTCAAACTTTCTATATTCTTATGTTTTAGATGAAAATCTTGAAAGGAATATAGCTGGATTTTAAAAAATCTACTTTGAAAATTTTTATGTAGATGCTCTATAAACTAGAGCATTCAGTCCTTTTACACTTAATGCAATTAATGATATATATTGATGATAATAAATATTTAACAATTCATGGGATACTTTGCAGCGGTTGTAGTTCTCACAAGTGACCATGAGAGGGCGACTCCAGTGGACTCATAGGCATTTATAGCCTTGAAGGGACAGAGGAAACCAAGCATTTTCTCTCCGGGGTTCCACCACTGCTTCCAAGGGTGTGCCTTCCCTATAGTGTTTGGGCATCCTCTGACCATGGGAAGAACAAGGATATGAGCTGGGGGACAGAAGTGTGGTGAACTGGGGGACAAAAGAGCAGTCCATTGGTCTGCCCATCCATGGGGTAAGTGTAGCTGAAGACATTCATTGGGCCGAGGGCAGAAGCTATTCACCAACTTGTATAGAAAATTTTCAGTATTTTAATAACCAGCACTGCTGTACAAGCCATTTAGAATAATATCAGTCTGCTTATATATTTGGATTTAAATCTACCATCTTATTTTATTTGCAATACACATTCTATGTTGGTTTTTCTCTCCTTTCATGTCCTCTTTTACTATTTCTTCTATTCCCTCTCTTGTAGCTTTTTTAAAAAATATTTTATTTATTCGAGAGACAGCAGGGGGTGGGGTGGGGGAGGAGCAGAAGGAGAGGGACAAGCAGACTCCACACTGAGTGCAGAGCCCAGTGCGGGGCCCAATCCCACGACCCTGAGATCATGACCTGAGCTGAAATCAAGAGTCAGACACTTAACCGACTGAGCCACTCAGGCGCCCCTCTCTCTCTTACAGCTTTTAAGTTTTACTACATTCTTTTCTTTTTTTTTTTCTAAGTAATTACCCTGGCAATTACCTCATGCATCTATGACTTTTCAAAGCCTGTTATTAATCAATACATTTACTTACCTCCCTGAAAATACCAGGGCCTCAGAACACCTTAATTCTATTTCCTCCTAGCCCGTACTATCTTCGTGTCATGTATTTTAATTCTTCGTTTATTTTTTAAATCTGTAAGATGTTATTATCATTATTTAAAGACAATATTTATTAACATTTACCACCTTCTTTGTTGTACACATCTTCTTGCAGCTCTATGTTATTCTGGGATCATTTTCTTTTTTGCCTAAAGCATGTTCTTTACAATCTTCCTTAGTGAGGGTATTCTCTTTGTAAATGTTTTTATTTTGCCTTTATTCATAAAAAATGTTTCCCTGAAGATGGAAGAGCTTGGCAATTATTTTATTTTGGCAACCCGAAGATGTCGTTCTACCGCTGCTGCCTGGGAGCTAGCTGTCAGTCTGTTACTCCAAGAAATTAATCTGCCTTTTCCTCTCTGGATGTTTTTAAGATGGTTTTTTTCATCTTTCTGTACTTACAACACTATTGTGTGTTGGTGTATAATTCTTTTTATTGATCCTGCTTGAAATGTGTTGAGCTTCTGATTTTGGTGGTTTGGTATCCTTCTGAAAGCTTCTCAACCATCGTTTCTTAAAATACTGCCTCTGCTCCATTCTTTTTTTGAGATTCTGTTTAAATGAGAGACTTTCTCACAAGATCTAATAAACTCTTCTGCATTTCCTATCTTTTTCTCTCTGTGCTTCATTAGGATCATTTCTTCAGCTCTATATTTCACTTATTAGCACCTTTTCAATGGTGTGTAATATGCGGCTAAACACAACACATCCAATAATTTTGGTTATTGTAGTTTTCATTTCTAGAAGTTGTATTTGATTTTTTTAAAAAAATCAGTTGTGTCACTTTTTATTGTACTGTTTTCTATTTCTGGAAGAAATCTTCAAACCTGATTTTTTTCAATTTAATAAGTATTTTTTTTAAGAATTGCTGTTTGATAAGTTCAATATCTGATGTTTTTCAGGGTCTCTTTCTGTTGTCTATTGTTTCTGTTTCTTCTCATTCATGGTGTCTATGCCTGGTTATCTTTGACTCTGTGCTAGCTATTGTAAAAAAAATTATTTGAATAATTATTTGAAGCCTAGGATGAAAGTACCTTCCTCTACATATGATTTGCTTTTACTTCTGGCATGTTTGGGATCACCATAAACCAAGTTTAAGGTTCCCTGGAAGACCAATCAAACTGCAATGCAAGCTACAATTACTTGTGAGGGCTCATGTACTTATAATTCACATTCACCTTGAAAATGTGGTCCTTTTGGGTCTCAGCTTATTGTGAGGAGGCCCTATCATTACATTCCCCACCTTGAGTGGCCTTGGACATTGATTTCTATCTCTTTTGTTCCTGCTAGGCTATCAAAACCAATTTTCAAATTTGCCAGATTTAGCAAATACCCTGGAAAAAGGTAACTTTTGTACACACTCATCTTTCTGAGTTTCCTTTTCCCCATCATTCTCTTCTTGGTAATTCCTTAATATCTTGCCAACTCTTTGATGATTATTTAAAACTCTTTGATGATTATTTAAAACTTAATTTTTTAAGTTGTTTTCAATGGAAAAGTTGGTCCAAATAATCTAGCCCATCATTATTAGAAATGGAAAGCCACATAATGTCTTTCTTGGCACATGGTAGGCTCTCAGTAAATGATGGCTGAATTAGTTGAATTATCATAATTACCCAAACATGGTCTCTTCTTTTGCATTTACAAAGACTGTTTCTTACCCCTATGATGCATAGAATGTCCATATTCCACCACTGACAAGGCTTAGAACCAATGCCACCTCTTCCTCAAAGTTCTTCCTGTTTTCTCTACTTCCCCAAATCTGAACCCTCATGAGACCTGGTCTGTATTATTCTGGTTGCTTAATATATTAATATGAGAAATATAGGTAGAAATGTATTAATAGGTAGAAATATATTAATACAACTCTTTATCTCTTCTGTGGGTTTGTACTTTCTTGACTTTTCTGGGCTTCTGAAGAATTCCCTCACTCCCCCTCAAGCTCAGCATACATTACAAACAGATTCTTTGGAAAATGGTATATCCAGTACTTTTAGGTTTGATGTCCTGGGAGGGGATTCTTTGAACATTTAGATGCCATAGGCTGGAAGCAGGCCATAGCTCATTCTAATAAACCCTTACGTTTGTACAGCACTTTAGAATGAACAGGGCACTCTCACATACATGTCTCTTACTTGTGTGTTACAATCATCATGCTGCAGATGGGAATCAGAGGGTAAGAGACACTAAATAATATGCCCAAATAGAGTTACGAAGCCAGAAATGGAATCCAGTCTTTTCTCTGCAAGACCAGGGCTCATTCCAGCACACCACCATTGCTTCCCTAGATTATTTGTGTCATTAGCCATTCCTGTAGCAACAACACCTAAAACTCTTTGGAAGTAACACTCGCTATGTGAGAGCACCTGTGTGGTGCAGAAGTCAGGTCAGAGGCAACAGACAGAGGGGTTAGCTCTGTGAGGTACCCACACATGCCTCTCAAATGAAGGCTTTCTGTATCTCAGTCCTCCTTACCTCACAACCTTGGTCCCATTTCTCATGACTTGCATGTCCACCATACAGCCCCCAGTAACATAGGCAGCTAGGTTCAACTCTGAGAATTCAGCCTGAAGGAGAAAGCAAAACACAAAAGGAATCATCAAAAACTAATGATGCTAAAAACTACTAACATTTATTGGGTACTTGTATGTGTCAAGTACACACTTATGCCTCACCTGAAACTTAGGAAGTTGGTAATATTATTTACTCCCCTTTCTGAAACATGAAAAATCTGAGGTGCAGAGGCATGGTGCCATGTCCAAGGTCACATAATTAATAAAAGGCAAAGTTAGATTGAAACCCTCCTGTCTCTGATTCAAGGACCCATGCTTTTAATCACTACTAATTTCTACTTCCTTGAAAGTAGAAGAAGCAACTCCAGCTTCAGGGCTATACGAGGCCAAAGGCTGTTCAAAACAACATCTTCCCTAGGTTTCTCCAGCTTCAGGTTATGCAGTGGTATAGCATCACAGCTAGTGATCGCTTATCCCTATTAATGGAGTCCTTTCATCATCTACCCACTACTACCCCTTTTGGTCACGGCCCCACCCCTTCATCCACCTACAGGGTTACAGTGGAAGCACCATGTCCATGCACTGAAATACTGCTCTCTCAGTCACAGCTGATGGGGCTGGCACCTGACCCAGGGTGGAGGAATAAGGTGCTCTTGTTATTAGAATTTGAAACTGCTGAGTGATTCATGTAATTTCTTTCTAGGGGCTGTATTTAATACACAAAACCTAAGTATAATTGAAGATCATGTTTTTTGCCATCTGGATTGGGAAAGTACAGAAAATAAGGGGGCGGAGGGAGAAATGTCACAGTCAGTAAGTGAGGGGCAGAGGCAAGAGGTGAGGAGTACTCTTGATGTTTATGTGCCAGCTACGATCCTGCCATTGGGCTTAATACAATACCTCTGTATTTTTATAAATACATCTTTTTGCTTTCTTATTTGTTTAAGCAAGATCTGCTGAATTTCTGTTGCTTGTGACCAAAGCCCTATGGAATACATCCCTCCTACCAGATTATACACCCCCTGGGGACAGTGATTCCATGTTACTACAACCATCTAAGCTTCCTAAGGTAGCCGTAACAAAGTACCATCACTAGGTGGCTTAAACAGCAGAAATTTCTTTTCCCACAGTTCTGGAGGCTAGAAGTCCAAAAATAAGGTGTTGGTAGGGTTGGTTCCTTTTGAGGGCCGTGAGGGAAAATCTGTTTCAGGTTTCTCTCCTTGGCTTGTAGATGGCTACCTTCTCCCTTCTCCATCACATCATCTTCCTTCTATACATGTCTCTGTATCCAAAGACCCCCTTTTTATAAGAATACCAGTCACACTGCATTAGGGTCCACCCTAACGACCTCACTTTAACTCTAGAAAGATCCTATCTCCAAATAAGGTCACATTCTTAAGTACTGGGGCTTAGGACTTCAACATGTGAATTTGGGGGGGGAGACAGTTCAACCCATAACCCCATCCTAGAAAATGCATAGTACCAAACTGTGCCTTACACAGTAGATGCCAAAAGCTATTTCTCAGGATTAAATGAATAAAAATAGCTTCTCATACATATGAAAAACTCACTATGTGCCAATACTGTCCTAAGCATTTTACATGTATGAATTAATTTAATCCTCACACTTACCCAGATGAAAAAACCAAGGCAAAGAGAGATTAAATAACTTGTAAAATGTACACAGTAAGTAGCAGAGCCAGCATTTAAACCCAGGCAGTCTGACTCCAGCCTATGCTTTTAACTGCTACACCCCACTACCCCCACTGCTTAGCTGAATAAGGCACTGGGTGGATTACAACTGGGAATTTTAGGGACCTAAAAATAGCCCAGTTGAAGAGAAAACCAAGTTTATATTGAAGGGAAATATCACTTCACAGTGATTTAAATGTATCCCCTTGGAAACATTTAACAGAATTATGACCAAAGACCTAGTCATCTCCCCAGATGACATTAAAGGAAACCCAGAGCACTTATGTCTCTTGCTTTAATTAATAGCCTCATTATGTTGTGTCAAGGTGAAGAGCAAAGAGCTCTGTTAATGAGTCCAGGTTAGTAAATAGTGGTAATGACCTGTTTATTAAGTCTAATGACCTAAAAATTCAGTCCCATCATGTTTAAGATACTTCACTGGCAAGATTACAAAGAAGAATTAGCAATAAAAGTTGTTGCATGAGTGCGTGGAGAAAAAGAAGTTAGAAGAAAGTTGCAACACAGAACACTTGGGTACCAAAAATTTGAAGAAAGGGAGTAAATCAGAATCTTGAATGATAGAATCTCCAACTCCAAGGTGGCAAAGCCCCAGAGGCTGTCTTGCTGCCCGAATGGAAAGAGATATCTGGATAAAAGACACTCAGGCTTGGATATACAAGTTAGAAGTTCATCGTATTCAGCTTAAGGTTTCTAGAATTATTTCCCAGTTATGGTTTATGAATAAGTATAGGAGGTAAATGCCTGGGTTGTTAGGGGAGCAAGTCTCTGTTGGATCAAGCATAGAGAGTTGGGGTAGCGAAGAGAGGGCGTTCCTCTGTATTTTACTTTTTAAAAACTTCAACAAACAAAACTTGGAAATGAACATAGACGTATCCAAGCACTTCTCCTTCAAGATAGTATGATGGCCCTCTTGGTAGAATCTCAAAGAGCACCTATTTTTGAAGAGCCTCAGAGTTCACACAGAAACTGTAGCGGGTTGAACTGTCTCCCCCAAAAGATATGTCCACACCCTAACCCCTGATACCCACAAATGTGACCTTTTTTAGAAACAGGGTCTTTGCACATTTACATCTGTAATCCATCTAGAATTAATGTTTTGTATAAGATCTGAGCAAAAACACTATTCTTTTACCGAATTACCTCAGTGCCTTTGTCAAACATGAAGTGACTTCATATGTGATCTATTCATCTAACCTTGAGTCTGGTCCAAGTTGTCTCAATTACTGCAGCTTTTCAGTGAGTCAACTTGATATCAAGTAGTGTAATATTCTAGGAGGGAAGCAGCCCAAATAGGGCCCAGTGATGACAGGTCCAAAGACAAAGTAGGATGACCATCCCTCTTGTCTCAACCTGCTGATCAGACAAAAAGTCTTCCTACTCACCCGCTCCAAAATATGGTCACTGGGCAACCAGATGACCTCAAAGGCTCTATCCGGAATAAACCAGTTGAATGTTTCCCTAATGATATGATTGGCCAAAGGGAATGTGTTCTATTCTCTGATTCACACCGCAACCCACCATTGTGACTAGACCTCTCAAAGAGCTCCTCAGAGGATCCCCACCTCTCTAAAGGTTAAAAAGAAAAGAAAAAAAAAAAAAAATCAAGAGCTCAGCCCCTTCAGCTTTGTTAGTGTGGTTGTCCAGCTGAGAGGTTAATAACGTCAAGCACTGCTATGACTTTGAGTCTTGCCTGTACTGAGGAATGGTGCCTCCACTATTACCATGCTCACCTGCTCCTACAAGTTGCCCTTTGCTTTATAAAGGAACTTCCGGGTTTCAGCACAGGTCTAAACATCCTCTCTTATTTGAGCTTCTTTATGCCTTATTGAAAGCTTGAACCCACTATCTCAACCTCATTACATTTCCCCCTATCTGCTATGAGGAGCATTTTAAAGAATTCCTTTCCCTTATTTTTAACAGAAAGAAATAACACTATAATGTATGGCTTTGGAAAATGAAGAAGGCTGTGTATAATTTTGATTGTCAAGATTTTGTTTTGAAAGGGGAAACAGTCATGTTACACATTTGTGGGAGATTGTCTCTAGACACCATTAAAGACGGGCAGATTTTTGCAGTATTAGGCACATACAGGGACTTTGTTAAAACCTGGTGTGGGAGGTTTTTGACACTGATCTCAATTACACCTGAAAGTGCTAGATGATCTGAGTTTTCTTGTGACTTTTAAAAACATGTACATGGAGGAATCAAAGAATAGTAGGAAAGGAACTGGACTTGACGTCTGGGACAGGGATCTAAATCTTGGATTTGACAATGACACAATGACAATGACTGCAGGCAAACCCCTCACTCTCCACTGTAATTCTCTTCATCTTTAAAATGAAAGAATCATAATCAACGGAGTCAATTATATCTACAGTGCCTTTCATTTCTATAGATCTTTCTTTCTCAACTAGTGTCCCCCAATTATGACTGAAGGAAAAAATCTTTTATCACATCACATCTTATGACAAAGGAATGCCAAGCAATAATATTTTTATTAGAAAGCTGTTCACTGCCTTGTACCCAGCTTCAGGCACACAGTAGGTATCCAAAAATGCTTGTTGAATAAAGTGTTATTTTTATTTCTGATGAGCAGATACCTACACATGCTATGTAGCTTGCCTTCTGAAACTCTGTCCATTGCCAGATCCATTAGACCACAACACTGCAGAGGGGGTCTCCAAGCAGAAAGGAGGCAAGGCCCAATCTAAGTTTCTAGTAACAAAAGCACGGTAAGAACACAGGGCTATTGGATCAATGGAATGGTGAGATGTCTTTTGTAGCTGGGGCATGGAGTTTATGGAGGAACATAATAGAAAACAGAGCTAGAAAGGTAGGTCGGAGACCAGTCCAGAAGGAGCTTGAACTCCCTGTGGAGGAACACAAGTATCATTATATAGTGCATCCATCTTCCCTTACTAGTATGTCTGTTACTTCATAACAAATTACCACAAAGTAAAAAACTTCAAACAACACACGTTTATTATCTCACTGCTCTGTAGGTCAGAAGCCCATATTAGTTTGGCTGGTTTCTCTGTTCCGGACTTCATAAAGCCCAAATCAAGGTGCTAATCATCTGGGATTTTATTGGAAGACTCTGGGAAGAACGTGCGTCCAAGTTCATTCAGGTGGTTTGCACAATTCAGCTCTTTGTGGTTGTAGGACTGAAGTCCACTTCCTCGCTAGTGTCACCTGGGAGCCTCTCCCAGCCGGTTCAGGCCATCTGCATTGTGTGCCTCATAGCACTCTCCATCCTCAAATTAGTAATGGCACACTGAGTCCTTCTTATTCTTAGAAATTTTTTTAACTTCCCCATCTGCCACATTTCTGTATCCAGCTAG